CCCTTCACAGTCAGGGTGGACATCCTCGTGTGTACTAACAGTGAACACATTCTCTCTGTGTGGTTTCCTGCAACCCAAGCAAGGATGCACAGGAGGGAGAAATCAGTAGGCCTGGGAGAACCCCAAGTTTTGAAGAAATACAACAAAATATTTAGCAATAATGGAGGTGAAGGTATGAACCAATAACCACTGAGCATGCTCAGTGGGCAGAGAATGCTGATTGGCTGGGAGGGATGGAAAACTGGGAGGAGGTGAATGTAACAGAACATTCTCTGCGAGCTGGTTGGAACTCTGAACAGAATCATCCACATTTTGTCACAGGTCCCTCTTGTCCCCAGTAGCGAAATATGCTGCTTAGCAATAAAGCTCCCAAGAGCAGATTTGTGGTGATAAAAGTACCTCCTCACATTTACAGTGGTACCTGTAAATGTGTTACAGATGCTTCAGGTTGCAGACGCTTCAGGTTACAGACTCTGCTAACCCAGAAATAGTACTTCAGGTTAAGAACTTTGCTTCAGGATGAGAACAGAAATCATGCGGCAGTGGTGCAGCAGCAGCAGGAGGCCCCATTAGCTAAAGTGGTACCTCAGGTTAAGAACAGTTTCAGGTTAAGAACGGACCTCCAGAATGAATTAAGTTCTTAACCTGAGGTACCACTGTATAAAGCTCTGTGCTGCCCTCCAAAGGCACTCTCTGCTTACCATTTAGGATGATGGCCGTGACGGTGGTTTGCCTAAGCACAACCAATAATGTCCCTCAAATAGACAGCAATCTCTTCTGCTCCTCCACCTATCCATCACCCCACTCCTTTCCCAGCTGACTATGGCCATGCACATATCATACATTAAAGTACAATTCATCCCACAAAGAATCATGGGAACTATAGTTTACCTCTCACTGAGGTAAAATTCTCAGCGCCCTTATCAAACGACAGTTCTGGTTTGGGGTTTTGGTTTTGAAAAAAGAGATGTGTGTTAAAGGCATGATGTGTATACATTCTATGACTGGTGTATTTAATGTATGCAGCCTTGGCTTCCAGACGGTCCAAGTGACCTGAGGACTGAATGTACTCCCTAGCTGCTAGAATTTGAGAAAAGTTGATTTCAGCACTTCCCCAATCCCATGCTTGCAATGCATAATCTTAGAAGGTCCCAGTTCTATTCCTGGTGTCTCTAGTTTAAAAGATCGTGTATGATGTGATGCGAAATGTTTCTTCTTTAACCCCTGTTGGGTGCTGCTAGCCAGTCTGATGAGATAATGCTAAGCTACATGGATCAATGTTCTGACCTGGTATGTGGAAGCTTCCTATGAAGAACTATGCCATTGGTAGAGACATTCAGCTTCTGGGGTCTGGAACCTGTGGTCCTCCAGATACCGGTGGACTCCGTCTTCTGTCAGCTAGCATGGACAATGAACTGGGATGATGAGAGCATACCACACTCTTGAGATGTGGATCTCAAAATAAGCATAGGGTGATGAAGTGTCACTAGAAATGTAAGCATTTTTTGCTGATCTTCTATCTAGTTTAAACTTTAATACTGAAATCCTCAGCATGTTCAGTGATACTGAACCCCAAATAAGTGTGCCAAAGCTTCCTGCAAAGAAAAGGCCACAGCATTTCTTATAAACATCTTAGCACTCTACTATATTAGCAAGTGAAGCTTGCAAAAGATTATTATTGGAAACAGTTTCGATTTTCAGAGTAATGGTTTTAAAGTGGATAAATAAAAAAGAAGGTCAGCAGGAGGTGACAACATATACCTTTCTTTTTGAAACTGGAAGAGAAAAGAAAGATTGCTCATGAATTAAATTTTCTTTTAAAAAAAATAAAAATAAAAAATAAATCCGTGATTCCATTACATTGTATTTGTACTGCACAATTTAATGGTCTAAGTAGAAGCAATTTCCTCGTATTCTGATTACCTAGAGGAGTGGGGAGAGAAGAAAAATAAGCAGGTCCTTCTAAAAGGGTGCAATTAAGGACTGTTAAATGGAATCTAACATTTTTTAAGCATCTTGAGCAAAAAAATAAAAAAATAAGTAAATGTGGGAAAGGCACCAAAATTGAGTTGTTTTCCATTAAAAGTGACCCATAAACTCTCTTTTTTAAAAATAAAAATAGTAATAAAAACTATTTTATTACAATTTTAGTATTAGTTATTTAGTAATTATTATAAATGTTTTGGGTTATTTCTACTCCCCCTCCTGTGAAACTACTCACTCATTAAGGCTTCAATTTTATAGTAAGCAGCATTGAAATTAATGGCTCCTATTCAGTGAAGTTAAGGGATGTGGATGGCACTGTGGGTTGAACCACAGAGCCTAGGGCTTGCCAATCAGAAGGTCGGCGGTTCAAATCCCCGCGACGGGGTGAGCTCCCGTTGCTTGGTCCCAGCTCCTGCCAACCTAGCAGTTCGAAAGCACGTCAAAGTGCAAGTAGATAAATAGGTACCGCTCTGGAGGGGAGGTAAACGGCATTTCCGTGCACTGCTCTGGTTCACCAGAAGCCGCTTAGTCGTGCTGGCCACATGACCCGGAAGCTGTACGCCGGCTCCCTCGGCCAATAAAGCGAGATGAGTGCCGCAACCCCAGAGTCGGTCACGACTGGACCTAATGGTCAGGGGTTCCTTTACCTTTACCTATTCAATGAAGTTATATGCTGAGTAGACCCAATGAAATAGAAGGAACTAAGTCAGACATTTTCATTAATTTGAATAGGTTTACTTTAAATATGGATTCGACTCCGTGGTATGTACATCTGAGTGGACATGTGTTGGATTGCACTGGAGGTCAGTGGTTCTACTTATGAGAAAGACAGAGATCTCAAATTTACATGCCACTGTACAGGTAGTGAGCAAGCAGGATGATGTTATGCCTGTCTCCTGCTATATTGTCTGCAAAGTCAACCCATTCAAATGAAGCATGAAATAAGTGGACATTTTCACATCCAGATTTACTTTTAAGAAGCATGTTCAGTTAGACTGATGTGTGGGCGACAGACACAGTAAAATTATATTAAAACTAGAACCTCAAAATATATGGATTAGGTCTTGAGGGTGATCTTTAGAAGAGATGATGAAGTTCATAACACATTAGTGGCAAAGCTTACAGCCTGGCTCCCCTTAGGAGAGCTTTGGGTAAACAATTTCCACTCAATTAATGATCTTGCTGTTTTGGAGAGCATCATTTTTAAAATGCACAGACACAAACCTGAAATGTCTAGATAAGCACATTTGACTTCTAAAGATTCCGAAACGGAACAACAAGGGCAAACACTTTAGGAACACAAAAATCCTTATACTTAACCTTGCTTGATCTCTTGCTGTGCAAAAGAAAAAAGAAAAAAAAGTCTCATGCTAACAGGCAGTTAGCAAGGTGGATCAATAGAAAGAAAAAATAGGGGGTTCGGCAATATAATATCTGCACATTGCCCCCCGTGGGTCTGTGTACAGCTGCCTTGATCCAGCTGAAGAGCTCTGCTCTTTGTCTTGCAGAAAGCCTTTGTGAATCAAGGTTCTCATGATGGCTTAGAGGTCAGCAAGGTGTTCACCAAGCTGAGAATGCTATTTACAATTGATGCATTGAGTGGAACTGCTAAGAAGTTTCTGAACCACCATGGTAGGACTTGACTCGGGCAGATTACTCCCCAAACCTTGTCTGGTGGTTATAATACATTTGACACAAGGAGCCAGGACCCATCCAAAAACCATTGCAGAGCACATATAAGGAAGTTTCCAGGCAGCATATAAGGATGTTTCCTGTTTGCTGAACATCCTTTCATTCTGATTTCTTTCCAGGGAGATGAGAAGTTGTTGGCTATTTAATGGGCATTCATCCTGATTTGTTTGCAGGGAGGTTAGATGACATTGCAAGAGTTATCCCACACTTTCCACTGTGTTTTCCTGTCACTTTCCTTATCACAAAAGTCCAGTCTTGGGGAAGTGGGTTTGTTGCGCAAGACTTCCCAATCAACTGTAATCATGCAACCTCTATTTGCCATTTTGTGATGGAATCTCACCCAGAAACAGCAACCAGCAGGAGATTGGAGGTGATATCTTTAATCCTGCATGCAACTTTACTGAAAAGACAGCACCTCTGCCTGACTGTGGACTGCTGCATTTCAAAGGCATTTGGGGGCTACCTTAAGTGTAACTGGACTATTAATGTTACTGTCTAGTAAAGTTATGGAAGTACTCTTGTAAGCATCAAAGCATAGTAAGGGAAAATACATTCTACTATCAGAAGAAGAAGAAGAAGAAGAAGAAGAAGAAGAAGAAGAAGAAGAAGAAGTAGTTAAGCAAAAATATTATTTTGTAAATATAAATCATTGGCAATTACATAACTAATGTATATGGGTTATACTGTTATCATAACTAAGCATTTTTGTCACCTTAAAGACTAACAATTTTTTATGGCATAAACTTATATGCAAATTCATTTCATTGAGTTTAATCCTCTGGAAATTGCTACATTATCAGTGTTATTTATGTTATTATTTGCCCTTCCTACATGCTCCACACACATTATTTCTGCAATCCTTACAATAGTACAGTATTGGAAATGTCAACATTATTGTTGCCCGTATTACAAATGGCAGGCAGAAAAATAAGAGGCTGTTTGAGGGGTTTCATAGCCTATGTAAGAGTTCAGCTAGAAACTTCTTGGACCATTCTTTCTCTTCACAAATTATGCAGCTGAAGCTCTCTGTTACTTTACCTGGGCAAGTCATATTAACCTGCTCTACACTGTAAGCCAAGGCTGTTAGTATGGTTGGTTGAAGCCAACTCCTAGGTACTGATGCAAGGAAATGGGTAGTCCATTTGTGCTGGGATGCTTATAGCAGTGATGGTGCCATTATACCATTACTCCAGAGCACTCCAGAGCAGTTTACTGGGTTAGACTCTAGCAATGCAATGCAGCAAAACTCAGAGGCCCCACTGAGTTCAAGAAGCCCCACTGAGTTCTACTCAGAAGCCCCACTGAGTTCAAGTAAGTGGGTGTAGGAATAGCTCAATTGGTAGAAGATGAGATTCTTAATCTCAAGGCCATGGGTTGAACCCCAGTGGGGCAAAAGATTCCTGTATTTCAGGGAGCTGGACTAGATGACCCCTGTGGTCCTCTCCAATTCTATGATCTTTATGAACTATGATTAAAGTCTAAGTATTGTTTATGCCTGCCAGCTCAGGCATTTCAGCAGCTTGCTCACTGGAAAGCCTTGGGCAAATCATCCCGTTTCACCTTCCTCAATAGATTGTTTAGAGGCTAAAGAACAACTATCAGCTTCTTGGATGAAGGGTGGATACAAATGTAATGCTCAAATAAAGAAATAAATGGCAAAATCTAAAGCACTTGTTGTAGATCATACAGACAATAGAACTGATCAAAGCAAGGAGATCAATTAATATAGCGTGTGTGTCAGAGTTGTCTTTCATTAATACATTACTTTATGGACCATTTTTTCTTCCTTTCTTCTAGCTGCTGTACATGACGTATTATGTTATGCTGTACATGCAAGTTACTGTTTTTTTTAAACACATATCTATATCTATTGAAGGGTGAAATATTTAGTTCTCCTTTGTACACTGCTTGACTTCTGAATTGTGAAACAAGCACACCCATATAAAGTACACCAATCACAAAGGCACAAAACGCTCCAAACATTACAGTCTTTTGCCTTCTATTTTGATAAGGGGTTTTATTTGTCATGCACACCAGTTGATTATTTTAATGGCATTACACCATCTCAGAGCCACAAAGAAAGACGTACACATTGCTTTTGGTACTTTATGTTCTTGAACATTTTTATTAGCTCTGAGAAATATGGATTTATACAGTTTTAGTGCTCCTGTATTTTCTATTTTGAGTATAAGGCAATAACTTTAACTAGAACACATTTATGTTCCAATGGCTATATTTATATCTATGGTTTTGGCCTGGAGTTTTATTGCTGTAGGAATACTGTGAAACTGTCAACCTTACTGAACCCAATCTTCATTAGAATGCACAAAGGAACCGTATTAATAAAAGCAGAAAACCAGATCAAATGGAATAACATTAAAATTGTCTTTCTGCTAATCTTGTTTCAAAGACAAAAAGGGAACATTGCTACCTATTGGTTGGTTTGAACGGGACATGGAGGGGGCTGCTGCTTCCATCTTCCACCACATTTCATCCCTAACCCATACTGGCTGTTTTGCTGAACCAAAAAAATGGGGAATTGGGTTGCAGATACTAAGCAACCACAGGATCTTATAGCATCATGTTTCTACACGCAAACACCTCCATTCACCTTTCAGGTAAGCACCTTTAGACTCTAGGGACACATTTGTTTGTTGGAAAATGCTTGGTACAAAGAAGAAGCATGTATACATTAAACATCATGTTTCTGTGCTTTTCTGTGCATCTCAAAGGGGACATTCACATCGTTCTGTGAGATATATGGGCTTCTCCTGTGCTTATTTCACCATAAGCGCCAATTCCTGAAAATAATTGGGTTGTAGTTGATGCTAGTGCTACACAGAGTAGAACCATTGAAATTAATGAACAGGACAAACTTAGGTAAGTTAATTTCAGTGAAACCCTCTGAGTGAAACCCCTGTGCTACACGTGGTAAGTTTTAAATTCATTGCAGGTAAACTTTCTCATGAACATAGGTGCAGATGAGTTGTATCCAGGTACAGCACAATGTGAGAACATCCCAATAGCTGAACTGTACAAATGAACAAGTTTACACTCTTTCACACACACGTTCATTCATATGCAGTGTCAGCTTGCACTTGTGTTGAGAGTAATGTGTGTTGTTTAGTCGTCTTTGTTGTGTTCAACTCTCTGTGACTCTATGAACCAGAGCATGCCTTGGAAACTCTCTTCGCAAAGCTTCTCCTTTTTTATGTACTTGGAATTTTCTTGGGAAAACACTGGAGTGGTTTGCCAGTTCCTTCTCCAGGCAGATCCCATTTAGTCTAAACTCTCGGCTATGACCTGTCCTTCTTGGGTGGCCCTGCACGGCATAGCTCAGAGCTTCTTGGAGTTATTCAAGCCCCTTCACCACGGCAAGGCAGTGAGCCATGAAGGGGTAATGTGTGTACAGAACCCAAAAATTAACCCTGGGGCTTCTTCATAGGCAGACACATCTGTCTCATTGTTAACAACCATGTGAGCAACCAGAGCTCTCAACTTCTGATTGGAAGAAAAGTGGGGATACACCTCTGCTCCCATGGCAATGAGGCTTTATTTCCTGGAGTTTCCTGGTTTGCTATGGTGGTTTCATTGCCCACTTACATTGTGCAAAAGAAGAAATGTTCCCTAATGGAACTCTGGAAGCTGCTTGCAATGTGTGACTCATTTCCACAAAATGCGGATGGAGATGAACTTGCAAGTGGATTAAATATCCATGGCTAGATTGGATGGGAAAAGCATCAACCTGGCTGTTTGTTTAAACATATCTCTTTCCCTCTTCTTTGACATCCAACCCCATGCAAACAGATTCACAACCTTTTGCAAATCTCTGAATAGGGAAGCTTATTTGGAGAGGGATATTTGAGAAACACAATTTCAGTTAAATTCTAAAAGACATCTCAATTTATGTATGCCATAAATTTTAGCATTTTTTGCTATAAAAAAATGTTATGTTAGTCACTGCAATATATAGACACACACAGAGAGCACTTGTCTGACAGGCTAATAATTATTAAAATCAAAAGAGGAAGGAAACATTCCAGCTTTGAGTTTGTAAGAATAAATTTAGCTGAACAAACCACCTTGTGATTTCCCTCATTAAACAGACTTTCCTCCCAAAGTGCCTTGATTGTTAATATGAGGGGACAATTTCATTGCTGACCTGTGTTCTGATCTTATTAGTTGTAAGCAATTAAAGGACTAATTGACAATTAGGTTGGTACGTCAATTCTCTTGACTCATTTTTTAAAAGGCCATTTGCTATGGTATTGTATCAGTCTGACTAAAGCACAGAGTAGAAAGAAGCTTCGTGGCCTTGAAGAGTACACTGAAGTAGTGAGTTGTCTTCTCCTTTGCCTACAACTTAAGCCCAAACTATATGTGATACTAAACAATATGGACTTGCCACCTAAAATGGAAGATGCTTCTCCTATACCTCTGAAAAGTTTGGTAGTATTTACCCATGTTGTAATTTCACAGCATTCTACTTGTAGTCTGAGTAAATATGCCAGTTTTGGAGTTCCTCTCAATTTCTAATTTTTCCCATCTTAGATTCATAGGTCCATAGTTTGCATTAAACATCTCTGTGAAAATTTATTAGCATTTATCATTTGCTGGAAGAAAATCTAGTTTTAAGAAAGGCAGCTTTCTTGCTTAGATGAGGCAGTGCTGCAGAGTGGATGTGCAAGTTGAACTCAAATGGAAAAGGAAGAGAAAGATTGAAAGATGTACAAATAAGCCTTCTCTAGTGAAATCCAACAAATAAGCAGGATCAGAAGCAAAGGCCTTCAGAAATTGGCAAACTACAGTGGTACCTCAGGTTAAGTACTTAATTCATTCCGGGGGTCCGTTCTTAACCTGAAACTGTTCTTAGCCTGAAGTACCACTTTAGTTAATGGGGCCTTCTGCAGCTGCCGTGCCGCCGGAGCATGATTTCTGTTCTCATCCTGAAGCAAAGTTCTTAACTTGAGGTACTATTTCTGGGTTAGCGGAGTCTGTAACCTGAAGCGTATGTAGCCTGAAGCGTATGTAACCCAAGGTACCACTGTATGTAAGTCTGCACCAGGTTTCCAGAACACTTGCTATAAATTATGCCTTCGTCTGTGGCAACAAATTCCCATATATACAATATCTGAAAGGTCCCACCATGGCATTTGATATTCACGGTGAACTCTCCAAAATACTTGTTGCCCTTAAGGATGAAGTACTAATAATAACTGTAACCTTCTGGTGGTTCCCTTACTGCAAGACGTAATGCTACAGGGAACCAGGCAGAAGGCCTTGAAGGTAAGATGAGTGGCACCATCTGCTACTGGTCATAACTTAGTGGTGGAACATCTGCTTTGCATGCAAACGGTCCATGTACTATGCTTGGCGAGGCAAGTTTTCCTCTGATCTCTTGATGGGGGGCGGGGGGCAGAACCAAATGCTTGAAGCAGGGTTTTGAGCTCTAAGACCAACTCTAAGGCAAGTTTCTGCTCTATAACCAGCCCTTAACATTTGTTTTCTCTCTCTTCCATTTTATTTCTTAACTCCTTTTAGTGCTTCATTTTGTTCTTTTAATTTATTGTTTTATCGCATTGTTTTATTGTTCTAACTCCCCTAAACTGTGAGGCTGCATGAGGCTGGGCTGGGCTGAGAACTTGGCTAGGCAGTGCCAAACGCAAAGTCGAGCCACAGTTTACAAGATAGTAGTTATAAACTAAGGAAGAGAAACATCTTGATTATCAGAACTGTTGACGAGTGAGCCCAGGTAGCAGCTGCAGAGTCTCCTAAATGCTCCCTTCTATCCTTAGCATCTCCAGGTAGGGTTGGGAGAGACCCTGGAAGAAGAAGAAGAAGAAGAAGAAGAAGAGTAGTAGTAGTACTACTACTAGTAGTAGTACTACTACTAGTAGTAGTTTGGATTTGATACCCCACTTTATCATTATCCTAAGGAGTCTCAAAGCGGCTGACAATCTCATTTCCCTTCCTCCCCTACAACAAACACTTTTGTGAGGCGAGTGGGGCTGAGAGACCTCAGAGAAGTGTGACTGGCCCAAGGTCACCCAGCAGCTGCATATGGAGGAGCGGGGACGCAAACCCGGTTCACCAGATTACGAGTCCACTGCTCTTAACCACTACACCACACTGGCGAGCTGCTACCAGTCATTGTAGATAATACTAATCTAAATGACCAAGGATCTGACACAGCATAGGGCAGCTTCCCAAGCACCACTGTGTCACTGCTTTAGAAACTGCATGGCTCGGAGGTTTCTTGCAAACTCCCCTTGTCCGATCACAGTGCCATTGTAATCGAGGAAGCTGTAGGTGCTGAATATATCTCTGGCAAATAGCTTTTAAAGACAGGTGGCGCTGTGGGTTAAACCACAGAGCCTAGGACTTGCCGATCAGAA